AAGCGCTATACACAAGCTGGAAGCATCGCCCTCGCTTCCACGCGCGCTCAAATACTACTGGTCTTAGGGCTTTGCGTGCAGCGCGGAAGAGGGACCGTGCCAGAACAGACTGTATCCGCGTGTTTCAAAGCCAACGCGTTCGTGGCTCCGGTTAGGTTGGGGGGCGTACAACTCAATACCAGGATTTACAACTTAAAAGAACATTCCAACACACATGTAATAATGTAGCTCGCGCGATCCTCAAAGCTTCGCCAACTCCACAAGTCAAGGGCAGGAAAGGGGAGGCGGAGTGGGTGAAAGAGGGAGCTGGGAGGAGGGACGAGTGGTGAGGGATGACGAGGAATGAGGATGGTGAGGATGAGGAGGGCGGGGAGGAAGGAGTGATGGGGTGGGCAGGTGGGTGTTTCCTCTGCCTCCTCCCACACCTCGTCCGCCTCCTCATCATCATCCATCCGTCGTGGGGGGGGGCCTTGGGGCCTCTCTGGGCGGTTGTGGGCCGTCTTGCGCGGCATCGGGGCCATCCTGGCCCGTCTTCGGCTCCTCCGGGAGTCATCTTTGGCCCTCGCGGGGCTCTCTTGACGCAATGCTGTGCCATCTTGGGGCCCTCTTGGGGTCTCTTGAGGCCCCTTGGGGCACTGTGTGGCTCCTCCACGGCTCCATGGGAACCGTCAGAATACCAGGGGTATTCCTCAGGCTTTCACTGATCTGGGCGGTCTGGGTAATCCTCCCGATGGTTTCCGGTGGCCTCTTGGCTTATGGAGTCATGAGGGAGGCCTCTTGGGACATCTGGGAGCACACTCGGGTCGTGTCCGGCGCCCGCGGAGCCGAGGAGCCTCCAACGAAGCCGCGGGGAGGGGACGGGGCATTTACAGTAGGGGCTCGACCACAAGAAACCGTCCACGAGAGACCCAACCCTGAGACCCCAGTACGTCCATTGATTTTTGGTATGGGAACGTCGCGCTTCCCATCGCAAAACCATTGAAACCCAAGAAACCCAGGGCACCCTAGAGGCAAGCGGGGTGCTTCTGGGATGGGGCTTCACTGTACTGCATTATGTGGGCCCCTGGGAGGCGCAGGCACACATAAAATATTCAGAATAGCTCTGGTGGACATGAACGGCGGCGCAGGTGGGCATCATCTGGGACACCCCTGCGAGGATCGGGCGGGGAATCGCGCACGGATTGGGGCACCGCGGGTTCGTGTCGTGTCGACCCCAACGTGGGTTCCTGACACTGCGGGGATCATTCAACCTTGAAAGATCGGCCGTTTCCGAAACGTCAGATCCTTCAACATCGACCGAGTCTGGATCGCCAGCGGCGTTCGACGTTGAACGCCGGCGGCGGGGCCGCCGCTGGTCGACAAGATGCGAATCTACCGTAGGGTGAGTTGAGCCCCGTGGGGTCCGGGTAGGGTTCGCTAGAAATCCCAAGGAGGGACAAGCACTCCTCGTACAGACGACTGTGGGAGCCCTCGGGGCATGCTCACTGCATTCTTCTTGGGCGGCGACGTCGGCCCATACCTCTACCGCCGCAAAGGTGGTCCAGCCTTGAAAGATCTCCGCTGCAGGGGGGTCCCAGAAACAGTCAAATGGACTCCGCGCAACATGTCTCTATATGTTTTTCCCCACGCAAACAAGCTCATCCCCAAGCAATCCGCGTCCCCTCGAGGGGGCTTAGACCAAGGCAGCAAGCCACGAGAGGTCAGCATCACCGCGCAACGTTTTTCTGTATGTGCCCCGAGGCCGAAGCGTCCCCGCGGAAGGCGCTCGACACTGAACGGCCGCGGCGGGGCAAATCTGTGACCTCCGCTTACAGCTGTAAATCATGGGCCTGTTTTCCACCACCACCACCACCACCACCAGAAGTTGAAGGGGGGAAGGAGGAGGAGGACGAGGACGAGGAGGGAGGAGGAGGAGGAGGAGGAGGAGGAGGAGGAGCAGGAGGAGCAGGAGGAGCAGGAGGAAGACCCAACTCCATGCCGTAGCCATTTTGGCTCAAGCCCTCATTAGAACCGATCGGCTCTCATGGGGGTGAGAGCCGCCGCAGCCTGGGCTCATGCGCGTGCCTCCGCCCCGCGCGCGTGGGTTTCCTCCTCGGGGCGCGGCGGGGGCCTCGCCGCCTCCAGTGTTGGTGGGGCCGCGGGGTGGGAAGAGGGCACGCCGTTGGCGGTGGCGTGCGGTGGAAAATCCGCTATTTTAGCGGTGCCCCTGGGCCGCCTTCCCCCCTAACCTCCGATGGGCCTCCTTGGTACCACCGGTGCGCGGACAAGTCCGTGGCGGCCGTCCAGAAGCTGGGCTACCTTGGCGGGAAGCTCAGCTTCGACGTGATCGCGAACAACCTGAGCAACAGCCTCAGCAGCGGAATTCGAGAGCTCGGGCATGGGTGCCTGCTGGCTTTCTGCAACGCCTCCACCAAGGTCACATTCTTTGGACAGCAGGGAGGTGGACAGCGGCCAGGACGCAGAGGGCAACGGGCACGGCACCGACAGCGAGGTACTGCTGGCCGAGTTCTACACACGTGGGGAGTCAAGATCGGTGTCAGACTACGGTGGCACGTCGGCTTCTTCTCCTCCGCCTTTCTTTGTTCTGCGCAGCCTCGTGGTTCACACTTGATGGCACCTGCTCCTTCATATTCGGTTCAGCGTTCCTCTCAAGGATGGCTGGCCTGTCACTGGGTGGCTCAATGGTTGTGCAGTATCTCGTACGGGTCTCAGCCTTGGTATGTCCATCCTGTACCAGTTTCTGGGTATGGCATCTCCTCTCGTGCTGGCACGATCTACCTGGAGGGTGGGCTCGGGAGAGCATCACTGGCGCTGTCGACCTGTACTTGCTCTTCTGAAGGGCCCTGGCATCTGGACCAGACCTTGGCCCTCGTGCAGTCGTGCCCAGGAGGACCCCCTTCCCCTCCGACTCATTGTGGCGGTGGTGGAGAGCAGGCCTATTGGGTCCTGGGACAGCCGTGGTGGGGTGCGACGCGTCACACTGCGCAGAACAATTTGAGCCTGCTCCTCTTCTTTCCTTACGGTATGTGAGATGACGATCGGTCACAGAATGTGGGGGGAACGATTAACAACATAAGTTCCGCATGTGTGGCTTCCGATTCGCTTCGGCTGCAGGACCCCAGCCGACTGCGAGGTCCGGGTCGCCCTCCGAGTGCGAAGGCGAAAAGAGAACGTCCCCAGAATGCGTTTCGCGCCCAGGTGTGGGAGGTTGTTCCTCGGGAGTGGCAATACGGTGCGCCCGCGGCTGAGGAAACGCAAACACATGCATTTTACATGTTCTCGTTGAGGGCCTTTTATCGGATATACATATACAATATATGAACCAGCTTGGTCGCGTGATGCGTACGTACCTGTCGGGGCGATGCAACTCTCGTGATCTGGCTGATGGCGTTCGTCATGACGACGGTTTCCATTATACTTCTGGCTGGTAGCACGTGGTTTGCCTGATTATCCACATCTAAACAAGCGAGTACGCTCTCTATTATGGTACTCGCGTTCCTGATTCTTCTTAGTGGTGTGGTCCTTCATGTCCACATACGCCATGGCTTACTGAGTTCCGTTCTGCAGGTGTGAGGACACTGGTATAAAGATGCTCGCGCGCGTGCCCGCTCGCGCGTCTCTTTTCCAAGCATGTCGCAGGCTGTGATCCTAATCGTCGAGGTTAACTGAGGACGCAGCGGCGCCGACAGGAGCACGCTAACGGCCAACGTCACCCAGACGATCGGCGGCAGCGGCAGGCATTAGCGGCAGGGGGGGGGGTCGACCTGAACGACGACCTTTTTTGGGCGGCGAGCGAGGGGGGAAGTGAGAAGAAGAAGGTATTCTCAGAAGGCGGCGGGACTTCTCAGAAGCCCTCCAGCCTCCTGCGAAGCCTTCTGCGTCCTCGGGGAAGGCTTCGAAAACTTCTCAGAAGGCCGGGAGACCTACGAGCCCTCTTAGAATAGAAAAACAAAACAACGCTATAAACATGCACTTGTGGCGCTCCGCGCGGATTTCTTGGGTCTGCGCCGGACCCTCCTCGCTGGCGTGCGGAGCGCGCCAAGGGCGGCGCCAGAGGCGCTGCCAGGGGGGGGGGGCCGGCTCGGATCCAAGAAGTCCGCGCGGAGCGCCAAGAGTCTATGGTTATGGCGTTCCCTCTTCTTCGAGAGGAGGCCCGCCCCTTCTTACTTCCCCCCCCTCGCTCGCCGCCGAATCTCCCCCGCGACGCCGACCAGTCATGCTCACCACCTGGCCGGCCCCGGACGGGCTGGGCACCCCGAGCGGTGCCCCCTCTCGGCGGGTCAGCATCCGCGTCTGCCGACGCACGTACGCCCGGCGGAGTCGCAGTGGCTTCTCTGCCTCCGCCTCACCTGCGCCGTCAGAGAGGGGCAAGCTTAGGTCGGGCGTGTCTCTCTCTACAGGGGGATTGTGGACAAAAGATCAAACATACCCCACCAAGATTCGATACTCAAAGCATGCTCAAAAGATCGTCCCCACACTATTTTTCTACCGTTTTTGAGTCTTCCTCATGTAGAGGGACGTACCCGACTTCAGGGTAGGCAGGCGTCTCCTCGATCCCCTGGCGACAAGGCCCATCGGCCACGTGCACGCAAGAGCGGCCCTGGGCAAGAGCGGCCCTTGGTGCGCGGGGCCGGGGGGGCGCGGGGGGGCCAAATCCAAGCGCGCCATCGGCTGCTGTCGCAGCGCGCTCGGCGATCGGCGAAGGGGACAAAAGAGGAGGAGGACGACGAAGAGGAGGAGGAGGAGGAGGAGGAGAAAGAGGAGGAGGAGGAGGAGGAGGACACGAAGCCCAGGGAGGCAACTCCAGGCCTAGACGCGCTGCCGGGCAGCACTCAGGGCACTGGTGTGCATGTTGTAGTCGTAGGTGTTGTCTGCGATTTCGTGACGGATGATGTTGTACAGGTGGTACATCAAAGCTATGCGCACTGCCGCCCGCTGAAGCTCATCATCCTCGATCTGGTCCTCCGGAAGCCCGAGGCCGAGTCGGACAAGCAGTCGTGCGGAAGGGATCCATCTCGGGAGGGAGACTAAATGCCAAGCGCGCGGGCATCGTAGGTAATGGCATATGTCGTCCTCGGCCTGGCAGCCGAACCTGCACGTCAGGCGCTCATCTAACACGTGCATTCGGTGGCTTGTCGGCCATGCTCCAGCCAACCTGGAGCGCTACCTGGAGCGCTACCTGGATGAGGTCATGCCGCCGCTCGCGGAGCAGCCGCTCCCACTGCCGACGCTGGGGGATCTGGAGCACGTGGCGCGCCACGCGCGCCCGGCGGCTGCGGGCCCCGATATGCTGCCGTACCGCGCCTGGCTCTCCTCGGAGGGGTCGCTCGAGATTTTGCACGCGGTAATGATGGAGCTCATGCGAGGCGCCCAGCCGCCTCCTCAATTCAATCACTCGCTGATGCTGTTCATCCCGAAGGGTGACCAGCCGCCGTCGGCGACGGAATGCATTCGGACGCCAGGGGCCCTCAGGCCATTGACACTGAAGAACTCGGATGCGAAGCTCTGCGCTGCAGCTGGCAATCGCTACTTGCGCACGCTGGCCGAGCAGTGCGTTGACGACGTGCAGCGTGGCTTCATCCGGGGCCGGACCTTCACAGACAATATCTGGCAGTTGGACCTGCAGGCGCGGGCCCAAGGCGTCGCACCATTCGCGGAGGAGCGTCGCCCAGCCATGTGATCCTTCGATGTAGCCGCGGCGTTCCCGTCCCTGGCACGCCACTGGTTGTTCGCCAGTCTGCGGAGATATGGGCTGCCTGCGGAATACCTTCTGCTCGTGCAGGCGCTGTACGTTGACCAGTGTTGCTGGGTTCGCTCCGGCGGTGCACTCTTCGTGCTGTGCCCTCTGGACTCCGGCGTAGCGCAGGGGTGTCCTCTTAGCGGCACTCTATGGGCCCTGGCCTTCAACCCATTCCTCGCTGGCATGCAGAAGATCTTGATTGAGCCTTCAAGCAACGACATGGCGAGGAGCGCCAGGATGAACATGGAGTACGACCGGCATGTCCTCCGCTGGCGCTGCGGCAGCCTAGCGGCGTGCGCGGATGACCTCGGACTGATCGTGACCGCCCTCGCGCACATTACACGTTTGAAGCCGCACTTCGAGGCCATGTCGATTATGGCCGGCCTCCGGCTCCAGCCGTCGAAGTGCGTTCTGGTTCCGCTTTGGGGCATCCTGTCAGATACAGACGTTGCTGCTCTCCGCGTGGAACTGGGCACTCTCATGGAGGGATGGGGGGACTTCAGAATTGCGAGCTTCATGAAATACTTGGGCGTCAAGCTCGGCCCGGGCGCAACGAACGACATGCAGTGGGCGGAGGCGGCAGGCAAGTACCACATGCGCTTGTGTCTACTCCGGGACTGCCCGGCGCCAAACGAGGTGATAGTGCGCGACTACAACTCGGCGGCGCTGCGCGTGCTGAGCTACCTCATGCAGTTCTTCGTTATAGACCCCAAGCTATATTTCAGCGAACTTGATGGTTTACATCGCGTCCTGCGCTGCCCTCCCAAGGCGTTCACCAGAAACGACCTGCTCAGCATGCGGCGCTGGGTGTCCATGAAGTCCTTCACGTCGATGCTCGCCCTGTCCTTCGCTACGATGTGGCGCGCAGCGGCGGTCACCATGACAGAGTGGCCGAGATGGCTGGAGAGCTTGCGCGAGCATGCGCTTGAGGAGGGTTTGGCGACACGGGTGGTACAGGGGCTGTGGTCTGCTCCGTTTTGGAAAGAAGAGCGCGCCATGGTCCAGACGTTCGATGACCACCTCTCGGCGCGCCCTCACGCTCGACTTCGTCGTAACGGCGTTCGCGCGGCAGCCAGTCTCAACAAGGCCCGGAGGGAGATCGAGCAGCACGCGAGGCGTTCCCAGGGACGCGACAGCGTCCCCGTCCAGAAGGCGATCTACCAGTCCTTGGCCCAAGAGCTTCATGACGACTCCTTCCACGTCACCATCGGGAAGAGATTGGAGAAATGGCTGGCTGAAGATGGCGAGGTGGTGCCCGGAGACCTCCAGGAAAGGTGGCATCGTCTCCGCGCCACCCTCGCTACCCTGAAGCCTGGGGTGTGCTGGGCGGTGGTGAAAACCTTGGCAGGAGGAGGAGGAGGAGGAGGAGGAGGAGGAGGAGGAGGAGGAGGAGGAGGGACCCCGATGAGCCCGCACCAGAGGCCACCCCGGCGAAGGGTCACCCTCGCGTGCAGTCGAGCCCGCTCTGGGACGCCCCTGTGCTTCGTCGCCGCCCTCGCGGCCGCCCTGTGCTCCCTCGCCGCCCTCGCGGCCGCCCTGTGCTTCCGCGCCGCCCTCGCGGCCGCCCTGTGCTTCCGCGCCGCCCTCGCGGCCGCCCTTGTGCTACCTGGACGCCCTCGCGGCCGCCCTTGTGCTCCCTCGCCGCCCTCGCGGCCGCCCTTGTGCTACCTGGCCGCCCTCGCGGCTGCCCCTGTGCTCCCTCGCCGCCCTCGCGGCATCGCGCCCCGCGAGTCCGCGCGGCGACCTCTCGTCGTGCCAGCGCGCCGCCCCCCTTGGGGAAGGGCAGCCGCTCCGGCCCCGACGCGCGACGCGCGCAGCGAGCTCCTCGTGCCCCCGCCCCCCCCCCCCGCCGGTGACGCAGCCTTGTCGCCGCCGTCGCCGTCGTCGCCGCCGTCGCCGTCGCCGTCGCCGTCGTCGTCGTCGTCGTCGCAGTCGTCGTCGTCGTCGTCGTCGTCGCAGTCGTCGTCGTCATCGTCCTCGTCGTCGTCGCCGTCGTCGCCGTCGCCGTCGTCGCCGTCGCCGTCGCCGTCGCCGTCGCCGTCGTGACGTAACCTTGTCGCCGTCGTCGCCGTCGTCGTCGTGACGTAGCCTCATCCTCCCGTGGCACCCACGCGCGAGCAAAGAAAAGCGGGAGCGATCCTCCCCTTCGGCGCACCACCACCAGCCTCGGCGCGCAGGGACGGCACGGGGGGAGCCGTGCAGGGGCGAGGGAGTGAGCCGGGAGGGAGGGGGGAAGGGGCGGGGAGGAGGGGAGGGGAGAGGGGAGGGGAGCAGAATGGCTCCCTATAGGTTCCCGAAGCTGGAGAGGATGGGAAGTGGAGGGGGGCAGGAGTCGGAAGGAAGCCGCGCCGGGGCTGCAGGGCTGGATGGCCGACGGGCGGGAGGAGGGAGGGACGGAAGAGGGAGGGATGCACCGATAGCCACCCTTAACCCATCGGTCGGAAGAGGTATGTAGAAGCATTGAACGTAGGAAGGCGTTCTGAAAGCAGATTGAGTGTCCGCCCGCCCCCTGAAGAGGGAAGAGAGGTGAAGCCACCCGGTCATCGAAGCAGGAGGGCGCCGACGGTAGACTGGAATCTGGGAGCCCCAAGATACCTGCTTTCAACGACCGAGGGGCACGCCCTCTGGAGCGGAGGCGCCGAACATCTCAGGTCCCGCGGCACGAGCCCCGCAGCATGTGGCAGCTGCTGCGGCACTGCTGCTGCCCCTCGGAGTGCTCGCCTGGGGATCCATGTCCCTCCTACGGCCAGTCCCACCTGGTGGACGGCGCACGCCCTCCTGCTGCCTCTCCTGCAGCTCCCTCCCTCCCTCCCTCCATCCCTTTCTCTCTGGTCCGATCCCTCCCTTCCCTGGACTTGTCTCCCTCCCTCCCTGGCCCTCCCTCCCTCCCTCTCTGTTGCAGCTCCCTCCCTCCCTTCCTCCCTCCCTTCCTCCCTGCCCCCCTTTCTCTCTGATCCATCCCTTTCCTTGGACTTGTCTGCGGACCACTGGCCGAAACGAAATGCCAGGCGGCTGCCCCCCCCCCGCGCAGTTCAGACAACGCGAGGGGGGAGGCCACAGCGGTGCGGCCCAGGAGAACTCGAAGTGCACGACCGGGGATCACCACAAGGTTCCTGCCCCCAGCTCTTGGCCCCCTCGCCGTCGGCGATGTCCAGGCCGAGCAGCGCTGCTTGTCTGTGATGGCCCTCAGCGCCAACACCGACACGACGCATCATGCCGATGGTGTCCTTTTGTTGTTCCCGTCCTACTTAAGGACCGCATCCCAGAAAGAATTTCGAGCACCCAGAAAATGTCAAAAGAGTGTCGAAATAGTGTCTCCCAGGGCCCGGCACGTGAAAACCCTTGAGTTTCGGTACTTGTTTGGGCGCTCGAAATTCTTCCTGGTGGCCAAGGCGAAAGTAGCTTGGAGCATCATAACACTTGCCCGAGGACGACAGCTGCCTCTTCAGACCCGTGGCTGCGCCTGTTTCCCACCCGTCATCACCCGACGTCTGGCGGACGGGCGGAACGCCGCAGAGGAGAGCCGCTCCGCAGTCCAGAGAACGGACTTCCCCAAACACTCGCCACTCGTCCTCGGCACACCGCACCGCAACGGGAGATCACCGGCGCGGCTGCCCAACAGCCAGCAGCGTGAGCACCCCCCCCCCATTTTGGCCCAGACCCTGCCTGGAGCGAGTCGCCCGAACAGCCTGGGGGGACCCTGGAAGTGGGCCCCGAACCACGTGCCTGCTTGCGCGGCGACCGTCGATCGGGGGCGCGCAAACATGGATTAGCGATTCGTGGACTTGGCGCGCGGTCGCCAAATCCATGGACCGGGGAGGTGCCCTCCCCCAAAGTGCGGCCAGTGCCGCCTCGCTCGGCGGCGGAAAGCCGCGATCTCCCATGGAAGCGGGACCCGTCGCTGATCCACGCCCCATCAATCCATGCTTGCGATCGCCTGACTCGACGGGAGCCCATACTGACAGTGGGCCAGCCTCCTCCTCCTCCTGGTCCTTCTCCTCCTCCTCCTCCTCCTCCTCCTCCTCCTCCTTCTCCTTCAGCTCCTCCTCCTCCTCCTCTTCCTCCTCCTCCTCCTCCTCCTCCTCCTACTCCTCCTCCTCCTCCTAGGCGTCAGAAGCATGGCCGCCATCGGAAGCACACTCTCAGCCGCACGTCGCCTGCGAATCGCGTCGCAGCAACGGCGGGCCGCTGCTCGGCCGCGAGCCCCCGCGCCCCCGGGGGGGGGGAGAAGGGGCGGGAGGCTACACACGCATGAGACCTACACGTGTGAGACCCTGATGGTGCACGGCACGTTGCTGCACCCGCCTTGCAGCGTGTCTGCAGCAGAAGCCAGAGCGCTCGACGAGGCTTCGAAGGAAGCTGCCCGTCTTCTTCACACATGGGTATCAAACGGCTGTAGTCTGGGCTGCTTGCGCCGCGCCAAAGAAAGAAAGAAGAGGCGGGGGAGCCCCGTCGCACCTCGGCCAAAAGACAAACGACACCACCCCACCTGCGGCCCTCCATGCTGCGCTACGGCACATCAGGCGCCGCACGGCGTATACCACGCGGAAGCCCACTCCAGATCTGCGGGTATACGCTAAGTCCCTTGTGCCGCAGGTGGGGTGCTGTCGTTAGTCTCGGCGGCGAGCGAGGGGGGGAAGTGAGAAGGGGCGGGCCTGCTCAGAAGTCTCGGAAGTCCCCCCCGCATTCTGAGAAGTGTTCTACGCCTTCCCCGAAGACAGAACAAGAAAGACCCTCTCGGAAGGCGCGAGGGCTTCTGAGCCTCCCCCGAAGACAGGGAGCACCTCTCAGAAGGCGCGAGGCCTCCTGAGAAGTCCCGCAGCCTCGTGAAGAGGGCCCTCTCCTTCTCACTCCCCCCCCTCGCTCGCCGCCGGATGTGGTTTTCGGGTCATAACTTGGGTCTCCAGCGGGCCTTCGGGACGATCCGGAAACCCCCAGAACGCCCTCGGCGAGGCGCGGCTGCCGGAAGGCATCCCGAGGGCGGAAAACCGCCAAGAAACTGCAAAGTTGCGCGAAAACCCAGAGCCTCGAAGCTCGAGCCTCGCTCGCCACCGCTCCACGACCGAGCGCCTCGAAGCTGCACCGTCAATGCCGCGCGTGCCCGCGGCTGTGCTGCGCTCCTGCTCGCAGCGCGCCGCGCAGGAGGCGGCGGAGAGCTCGAGAGATCCGCCCACCCCAAAAAAAAAGCCGCACAGGCAGGGCCGAAGGGCCTTGGAGCAGGTGGCTCGCGTCGCTCGCGGCTGCCGGGCGAGCGCGGCAGCGGCGGCGAGGCCTCGCGAGGCGCAGGGGCCCTGGACACCCGCACGGAGCGTGGGGCGCCCGTGGGGCGCCGCGGTCTCGGCGGGCGCCTCGCCCTTCTCGCTTGCCCCCCTCCGCTCGCCGCCGACAGAGGCGGCCAGCGGCCCAGGGGCCAGCGGCCTTTGGGGTCGGGCCCCGCGGGTGCGGCACGACGGGGCCGCCGCGCACCCGCCCGGGGGGGGGGGGGGGGGCGCCGCCGCCGCCCGCGGGGGGGGGGTCGAGGGGGCCGCGCTGCGGCCGCCGCCGGGGCCCGCCGAGCGCCACCGCAGCGCAACGGTGGCGCACCGCCAGGGATGTAAAACTCCCCCAGAATCGGCGGCGAGCGAGAGGGGGGGGAAGCGAGAAGGAGAAGGCCTTCCCAGAAGGCGGCGGGGCTCCTCAGAAGCCCTCGCGCCTTCCGAGAGGGTCTTTCTTGTTCTGTCTTCGGGGAAGGCGTAGAACACTTCTCAGAATGCGGGGGGGACTTCCGAGACTTCTGAGCAGGCCCGCCCCTTCTCACTTCCCCCCCTCGCTCGCCGCCGAGACAAACGACAGTACCCCACCTACGGCACAAGGGACTTAGCGTATACCCGCAGATCTGGAGTGGGCTTCCGCGTGGTATACGCCGTGCGGCGCCTGATGTGCCGTAGCGCAGCATGGAGGGCCGCAGGTGGAGTGGTGTCGTTTGTCTTTTGGCCGAGGCGGGACGGGGCTCCCGAACACCTGCCCGAAGGCCCCACCACCCCCCCGAGAGGACCGCCCCGAGGACGCCACGAAGGCCCAGGGCACCTGCCCTGGACGACCCACCCGACGTCGCGCAGACCGTCCCTTCAGGCCCGTGGAACCATACGACGCCTCCACACAGCCGGCACTGCGCTGCCCAGGCAGGAAGAGGAGGAGGAGGACGAGGAGGAGGAGGACGACGAGGCGGAGGAGGAGGAGGAGCCAGGGGAGGGGAGGTGGGAAGAGCAAGGGTGCGAATCGAGGGGGGGGCAAGCGCCAGGGCGGCGCCCGCAGCAGCGCGGAGCATGGCCACAAGAACGCGGGTCGAGAACGCGAGCTCCTTGACGAAGGCTCAGTGCCCAACAGCGAAGAACACTCTCCGAGGTGGAAAGACCAAACAAAAATAAAGCAAAGGACACCCCTCCAATGACCCACGCGCCAACTGTACCCTTCTTCCGCTTCGCTCCGCTTCGCTCCTCCTCCTCCCCATCCCCCCTCCCTCCTCCTCCTCCTCCTCCTCCTCCTGCCTCCTCCTCCTCCTCCTCCTCCTCCCTCCTCTCTCCTCCTCCTCCTCCTCCTCCTCCACGTCTTCCCCCTCCTCCTCCTCTTCCCCCCCCCTCCTCCTCCTCCTCCCCCTCCTCCTCCTCCTCCTCCTCCTCCTCCTCCTCCTCCTCCTCCTCCTCCTCCTCCTCCGCTGCAGCGTCGCGGCCTTGGCGCACGCCTTCAGGTGGTGAACGGCCCGCACCTCGGCGACGTCGTCCTCGCGCCAGGGGGGCCGCCGCCGGGCCCTGCCGGTGAGAGCACCGCCGCCACGCGGAGGCTGCCAGCACCTCTCGCTCGCTCGCCCAGATTCGGCGCAGCATACTCCAAGTCAGAGCGTGTTCGTGAGGGGGGGAAGCGAGAAGGAGAAGGCCTCCCCAGAAGGCGGCGGGGCGTCTCAGAAGCCCCCGCGCCCTCTGAGAGGTTGTCTCTGTGCCTTCGGGGATGGCTCAGAAGACTTCTCAGAAGGCTGGGGACGTCCGCACCTTCTGAGAAGGGCTTCTCCTTCTCACTTCCCCCCCCCCCCGCGCTCGCCGCCAAAAGATCCCTGGCCAGACCCGGTGGTGGTGTGCCCTGAGATCCGACGCTGCGAGAAAGATGCGAAGCCTCCTGGGACCCGCGCAGACGGGGGGGTAGCACTACGATGTGCCCTTTCACCCTGCGCTTCGCAGCCCCCATCGAGGAGCACCGTGCACTCGAATGGACGGCGGGTGGCTGCCAGGAGGAGGAGGAGGACCACAAGAAGCCCGAGGTGTCCACATCATCGCTGCCGCAATGCACCCTCCCGTCCCAAGTCCCGTCCCCACACGTCCCTGCAAACGTTCCATCATGTTCCATCTCACTGCAAGAGATGGCCTTCTCTTGAAACACTAGCACACGGGCGTGCCATTTCGGCGAGGCGAGGCCCACACTCTGAGAAGACACCGTTCATTGAAACTGTTGCGAGTGTGCGCAGCGCTGAAGCGAGAGCTCCATTTTGGAAACAACCTCCACTCCATCGTTGGAGCTGTCGCAAACTCATGAAACGAATGGTGCTGATGCGAGAGAGCAATTTTGAAAACGACCCCCATCCATTCTTGAACATGTTGCAGAAATCCCCAAACAGTGTTTGCACTCAGGGGTTCTTTCGTGTCCTCCTCAAGGACTGGCTGCCAGCCAGGTTTCTCCACGTTTCCGCCCGTTACCGCCTCGTGCGTTGGGTTGGTTTTGCAATGTTTCGCCATGCGACCGCCCGTTGTCGCCTCGTTGCAGCCTCGTGCGCTGGGTGCGTCTGGCGACGTTTCGCCATGTTGCCGCCCAGTGCCACCTCGTTGCCGCCTCGTGTGCTGGGTGGTTTCGGACAAACTTCGCCACGTTGCCGCCTTTTGCCGCCTCGTTGCCGACTTGTGTGCCGGGTGGGTCCGGCGAGGTTTCGCCACGTTGCCGCCCGGTGCCGCCTCGTTGCCGCCTCGTGCGCTGGGTGGGCCCGGCGAGGTTTCGTCACGTTGACGCCTGTTGCCGCCCGTGGCCGCTTCGCTGCCGCTTCGTGCTCTGGGTTGGTCCCGCGAGGTTTCGCCACGTTGCCGCCTGTTGCCGCTTCGTTGCCGCCTCGTGCGCTGGGTTGGTCAAGCGAGGTTTCGTCACGTTGACGCCCGTTACCGCCTCGTTGCCGCCTCATGCGCTGGGTGGGTCTGGCGAGGTTTCGCGACGTTACCGCCCGTTGCGGCCTCGTGTTTGCATCACGTAAAGTCTGTGTTGGCCAATGTGGATCCCAACCAGTATATTTATACCAGCACATGTTGTGCGATCTACGTGGGGCAGAATGTGTGGTGAAATCTATGTGGTGTAATTCGTTTTCAAGGACTTCGAATTGTCAACTCCACTGCTCGCGCCATCGTCCCACACACACACACGCAACTTATGTTGCAAAACCCATGCAGTGGCGATTGCGATGACTGCTTGGCGCTGGCCGGCGCATCGCTGCGGCCGCGGTTGCGCGCGCAATCTCACGCGCAAAGCGGCCTGATAGGTTGGCGCGACCGACGCGGCGGTGATGGCGCTGACCGCCGGGGGCTGCCCAGTGCGTCTCGCAGGCCGCGCTGATGCGCGGGCACTTCACTGCGAGTCGGTGACTCGGGCGGACGCGGTATCATGGTGACGCCGACAACGTGGCGATCATGAAAATGAAACGGCAAGGCCAATGACAGCGCCGATGATGGTCACGCCAACGACGATAATGGTGTCCACGCGTCGGTGATGAAAGTTTTGGAATGAGTTCGACATGCGCGCGCGAGAGGCCCGCTTGGCCGAGTCTGATGAACATATTGGAAATCGATGAATATTAACAAGGGCGCGCGTGCAGATCCTTATGGGAAAACGGACGCTGCGAAACCATCTGTTTTTTATGTATGTTTTCGGGGCGGTCGATTTTGAAAGCCTTACGGAACTAAGGTTTTTGAGAGTTTTCGGAATTCGCGCGCCACGGCACGCGCGTGTGCACTTCGTTCCATATGTTGCAAGGGGTTCTTGGACATTGATGATTTGTGGTGAGCGAATTGCGCGTGCATAACATCCGTTGCAAAGGGTGGCAGGGGGGTGTCGCTACCGGTTGAGCTGGGGTGGTATGAGTTTATACCGAAAACGATCAATAGGGCAAAATGATATGGACATCGCAGTGCAAAAGAACGGACGGATAATCCTGGGGGAAGGGTAGATTCAGAAAGTTAAAATGTGTTAGGACATTCGATGGGTCCATTCCAATGCTTGCGCAATCATCCTATCTTCCCACCCGCAAGTTGGCAAGCAAAGTTCACGCGGCGGCGACTGCGATGACTGCTTGGCGCTGGTTGGCGCGTCGGTGCGGCCGCGCTAGCGCACAAGCTCGCGCGCAGAGCGGTCGGCCTATTTTGGCGCGGCCAGCGCGGCCGATGGCGCTGGCAGACGGGGGCTTCCCAGCGCGTCTCACAGGCCGCGCAGGCGCGCGAGCATTTCAGGGCGGGTCGGTGATTCGGGCGGGCGCAATATCATGATGACGTTGGTAAAAACAAAAACTACGATGACGGCAACAAAGGCCAATGACGGCGCCGATGCTGGTCGCGCCGATGACGTTGATGATGCCCACGCGTCGCCGACGAATGCGCTGGAAGGATTCCGGCCTGCGCGCGTGACCGACGCGCGTGAATGGCCTGCAGGGCGTGATTTGACAGGGCCCCCCCCCAGCAAACGCGCGGGGGCTTTCGAACGAGTCCGACATGCGCGCGCGAGGGGCCCGCGTGGCCTCAATTGACGAACGTGTCGAGAACAACCAACGGCTTTGGGGAAAATTCACAGTAGCGCGCATGTTTCCACTGCTGGAAATCACCACAAGTTTGGGAACCACGTTTTTTAAACCTTCGCGACATGCAAGGTGGTTGAGAAGATTCCGACATGCGCGCGCGACGACGTGCGCGTGGAATGTGTGAAATATTGATGGAGCGGGTCATCAGAAAATGCTTGTTTGATGAACGAGTTCGCGCGCATAAAATCATTTGACAGGGATGCAGGCGGCGGAGGGGTGAGGTTACTCCTTGGGAGGATACGAATTCATATGCAAAGTGAACGCTGGCAGGGTCATGTGTAAATTGTATTATCCGAGGTGCTACCAATCAACCTTGGGGGTATCTACATTCCTTTCAGGAGGGGAGCCTATACGGCGCAATGAACCCTGCCAGACTTGAAATGACAATTCCACTGCTCGCGCAATCGTCCCACCCACTCACCCGCATCTTGGCTAGCAGAGCCCATGCAGCGTCGACTTCGATGACTGCTTAGTGCTGGCTGGCGCATCGCGGGAACCTCGCGAGCGCGCGCAAGCCCGCGCGCAGAGCGGCCAGCTAATCTGGCGCGACCAACGCGGCCGCGGCGGCGCTGACCGCTGGGACCTTCCCTGCGCGTCTCGCAGGCCGCGCTGACGCGCGGGCACCTCAGCCCGAGCCGGTGACACTGGCGGGGGTGATATCATGGCAACATCGATAACAGCATACACGACGATGAGAGTATCAACGCTTGTGACAACGATGACGATGACGACGGCAAGGCTGTTGATGGCGCCGATGCTCATCACGCCGATGACGATGATAGTGTCCACGTGTCGGCGATGAAGACGGAAAAAGGATTCCGCCTTGCGCGCGCGGACGACAGGCGCGAGTGGCCCGCGTGACAGGGTCAAGCCACCCCAGTACGCGCGCAAGGGCGCTCGAATGACTTCAACATGCGCGCGCGAGAGGCCCGTTTGGTCGGATTTGGTGATCATTGGAAACTTACGGTTCTCGTATGAATTCGCACCAAAACGCGCGAATGCTTTTTGGGGGAAAGGTATGTTGCAAAACAAAACGTGCGGGGCAGAATCACATGCCAATTGCAATGTGACGAGGGGGGCGATAAACATGGGGGGTCCGACTTTCTCCTGATGACAAAAAGGAATTTACCTTGCAGAACTTGAAGTTGCCAACTCAACTGGCGGCGCACTCATCCCACCCTCCCACCCGCAACTTGGTTTGCAAAACCCATGTTGCGGCGATTACGGTGGCTGTTTGGCACTGGCTGGCACATCTCTGCGGCCGAGCTGGCTGGCTGGTCTGGCCCAGCCGACGCGGCCGCGGTGGCGCTGACCGGCGTGGGCTTCCTAGCGCGTCTCAAGGGCCGCGCTGGTGCGCGGGCACTTCAGTGCGGGTCGGCCCGGCTGGGCAATACCACCAATCGACCCCACCCCCAAAAAGGAGTGGAAGAAGATCAAGGTCACAGAACAACGTAAAGGAACTGCACCCATCATCTTCAGACCACTGACGCCGAGACCCACATCGCCTTCATCAAAGCCGTGATCATCAACAGCATGCCACTCGCCCAACAAACCAGGGAAATCGAGCGCACCAAGGAGGTCATGGAGGACCACCTCGAGTACACGAGGGCACCCCACGAAGGAGGTGAAGGTCTACCTGGCAACCATGGAGGGAGCCGGGGAGTCAACAGAAGAGCAGGACATCGGCGTCATCCTGAAAGCGCGAAAGGAAGACAACCAACGTCTCATCCATGACGTCAGGAACAACAGGAAAGAGGCTAAGGGAAAGTGCGACAACCTCACCGAAATCAACAACGAGCTGGGAGCCGCAAGAGAAGAAGCTGCAGCCGAACTACAGGAGCTGCGACAGCACCTACGGGGTGTCGAGGTCAACGTCGAGAACAAGCGGAAGGAGCAAAGGCATA